TCTTCCCACTATGGGACTCCTCAGCGGCAGTGAGAACCCCCGATCGCGCCCCGTGCGACTCGCGCCAGGTGCTTAACCAACTAGACCACTGAGCTGTCCGGCATCCAATGGTGTTAATGTCTAACATCAAGGAATCCACGAAATGGAGCGACACATCCACCATTGTCATCAGTGAGTTACTATCTCACAACTGACCCGGTTGAACTCCACTGGTCACTGCTTCTCACTAGAACTCCAGGATATATCTCTTGAAGCAAGTCCCACAATAGGAAGAAATGGTCGTCCTACTCACTGCCTTCTCGTGGCATCACTGTTGTTCACGAAATTGAGAGGACGAAAAGCGAATGTCCGACGCTTTAACCGGATCCCAAACCAATGCTGCTCCAGTATCCCGAAGGAACAAATGGCGTATGCACCAATCGTTGATCACCGGCTACCATGGGACTGCATCTCCTTACGATGCTCCACTGCCTTGTGGATCAGACCTTCAGGTCGAAGGCTCCAGGTTTGGCCTCCTAAGAAAATCACTTGCTTCGGTTTGGGCACCCGGGCAGTATCACAGCCCTCGAACAAATCAAATAAGATTTGTGTGGCGCATATGTATCTGGTGCCTCCTTGTACCAACATCTATGTGTTAAAATAAATAAGTAAATAAATAATTGTTTTTTCTTCAGGGATGTTAATATTGTGATACGTGCTACTTATATCGATATAAGTAGTATATATAACTTTAGTTAGGAATAGAATGTCTGGTATCACAAGAAGATCAAGAAGAAAAGAATGGGAACAGGAATCAGTTGGTATGAAAACGAAAGAATAATAGAGTTTGAGACAATTGAGTGTAATTTTGCAAATGAAGTATTCAGTGGATGATTCACAGATTTGACTAACATCTTCTATAAATATTTATGTTCAACTACGTTCGAATAGTCTTCATTTGTGTTCTCATTCATTTCATCATTATTATCATTGTATTACAGTATACATTTACAAAACCCGCTGAGATTATAATTTATAAACGACCTTTGAGTGACGTGAAAGTGACCTTCAGAATGTTCACCTACTGACTAGGGTTAAATAAGAGTTTTAAATTTGTATGAAGGATGTGGATTATCGTTTACAATTGATGATTAGGGATAGTGACAACATTTTGGATTCTCATCAGAAATTGACATCAGCTAAAGTGCTGCGCTTCAACAATTACGGTTTATGATGTATTATGAAGTAGCTCTTACTCCTAGTGGAGCACAGGTCACCGACCAGCATTCTCCAACCCGCACTCTGTCCTGCGCCTTCCTTTCTAGTCGTATCTAATTGTTGTTCATTCTTCGCATATCTGTCTCAGCGTCGTGTGTTCTTTGGTCTTCCTCTTCTCCTTTGACATGGAGGATTCCTATTGACGGCTTGGCTTATGACGCATTTGGGTACTTTCCTCAATGTGTGTCCTTTACACTTCCAGCGCTTCTTAACGATTTCTTCTTCCACTGCAATCTGGTTTGTTCACTCCCACAGTAGGTTGTTGCTAATTGTGCCTGGTCAACGGAACCGAAGTATTTTGTGTAGACAACTGTTAATTAACACGTGTATCTTCTTAATGATTGCTTTCGTAGTTCTCCAAGTTTCCACCTCATACAGTAGAATTGTCTTGACATTTGTGTTGAGAGATCTGTCTTTGGTGTTGGTTGACAGACATAGATAGATAGATAGATAGATAGATAGATAGATAGATAGATAGATAGATAGATAGATAGATAGATAGATAGATAGATAGATAGATAGATAGATAGATAGATAGATAGATAGATAGATAGATAGATAGATAGATAGATAGATAGATAGATAGATAGATAGATAGATAGATAGATAGATAGATAGATAGATAGATAGATAGATAGATAGATAGATAGATAGATAGATAGATAGATAGATAGATAGATAGATAGATAGATAGATAGATAGATAGATAGATAGATAGATAGATAGATAGATAGATAGATAGATAGATAGATAGATAGATAGATAGACAGATAGATAGATAGATAGATAGATAGATAGATAGATAGATAGATAGATAGATAGATAGATAGATAGATAGATAGATAGATAGATAGATAGATAGATAGATAGATAGATAGATAGATAGATAGATAGATAGATAGATAGATAGATAGATAGATAGATAGATAGATAGATTTAGTCTGATTATTTCTTCTTCAGCTCACTCCATATTTTCTATAAAATTTTGTCATATGAAATGAATATAACATGAATTGTTCACAATCAGCCAAATCTATTCAAGCTTCCACTTACATATTTCATTCTAACTGGTTACGACACTAGCAAGTTCTGACAGGAACCGATATATAACTAAAATAATAAATAAAATCTGACTATATTAATTGTGATATAGTTGAAAAACTATCAATACCAATGGCTGACGTTTCAATGATCTAGATGTGAAGTGTTCGGACGAAAAGATCGAACTTCTCATGTCCGACCTCTTCTGACGTGATAGTGGATACGATTTCGTAAAGCGTCCTATCCTGGAATGAATTCGTTATTTGTCACTTTCAGACTTTGAATAAAGGTCTAGGTATTGATCAGTTCGTGACTGACACTATGAAAATACAAACACTAAAGTGAATGTTTTGTTATTTTAAAATATAACATCAAATCAACTGAAAATCTCATGTTTACGTGTTACATGAAGATCTACGATTCCGACGAGACTATAATTTATGGACAACCTTTGAACAACGTTAAAGTGACTTTCTGAATATCCGCCTACTAACTAGAACTAAATGACGGTTATAAACCAGTGTGCAGAGTAACAGCTAACACGGTCTTGGATCAGAGTTTCCAATTGACTACAGCTAACCACCTCATATATGAATATAGTGAACATGCTATCGAGTCATTAAACTAGTACTCAAATTGTTACTTGTTCGATAGAACTTGACCAAGTTTGAGATGAACTTCATGCAAATAACAATAGTCAATACTCAATGATTAATTACTTGTAGAATAGAACTGATGGTACTGATGGTAAGACTATAATTTATGGACGACCTTTGAGCAACGCTGAAGTGGTCTCAAGAATATCCACCTACTGACCAGAGCTAAATGAGATTGATAAACCTGTATGAGGAAATAGAATTATGATTTACAATCGATGCTTAGAGGTTAGGAATTAGATTTAAGGATTTTTCATCATGAACTGATATTAGTTAAAATGCCAAAACTCTATTTAACCAAATGGATGAGTGAATTTCGCGCCAATATCCAAGACCTTTCATCGTAAATCTGACTGATTTGCTCATAAATTATAGTCTTAACAAACTTCAGTCAATCAGTCAACTACAACGTAGGACCAGGCACATATATGCATTGGTCCAAGTTGCCATACCTCATTAACACAACAACTGGGATCACCGGGTAAGTAATAGTGAGGTTAGACTTAGGGTATTGGAGAATCATGGTAAATCAGTTGATGAGGTTGTGAATCTTCATCGACTGAGACAGTTGGGCTACGTGTTACGTATATCTGAACACCGATTACCACAATGTGCAATGATGACTGGTGTTGGAGATGGTTACCAAACTTATTGAATATAAAACTAGATTAACTTACATAAATCAAGATTGAGATAATTGATGTGAATACGTTGAAGTGTCAACCAGTTCGATAATCCATTTTTATCTGAATAAGTAAACATGTAGTTCATGTTAGAAAATGGGCAAATACCAGTGAAACTCTTTAATCACTCCTACAACATTACATCAAATGATACTCATGAACAGGATTGTTCAGTCGTGGAGCTTTCATCAATCTTCTGAATGCCATCATCAGCACAAACTTCAGATAGAAGTGATATGTTCAGACTTCTTCCCATATGATTCATAGCTTATCCTGTAGACCTCAATGTTGAATAGTTCTTATCGTTCAAAAGAACGATGAAAGCTTCACGACCAAACCATCCATTTCTGTACTGTATTCATGAAAATTAAACATGATTAGTGTCTAGTTATTTTAATTCTGTCATAAAATATGATAACAATTGTTATCATAAAACATTTTCACTACTAGCCACTATCCATCTTTGTTTATAATGCTTGTGACTTAAGGCAATTCAGATGGTGGAGAAGATTTGTAGCTCAGGTGGATGATTTTGATGGAGTTCTGTTCTCTGAGCTGGATGGTTTGGTCGTGGAGCTTTCATCGTTCTTCTGAACGACATCATCAGCAGCACAAACTTCAGATAGAAGTGAAGTGTTCGAATTTCTCCTTATGTGTTTCACAGCTCGTTCTGTGAGTGTCCACACTCATTCGAATGGAAAAGTGTGGAAATCTTAGACAGAGGAAACTCCAAAAACACCAGAGAATTTTTAGAAGCCTGTCACTCAGATCAATCAGCAATCAACAAGCAAATTGAAATCAACCCAATTTATCAACCAATCAGGAAAATCATGCACAAATATAGGAACACAAATCAAACCAATGGGAGACACAATCAAAACGAAGAAATAAACAATGATAAATTTAAGGTCCATAAGAACCAATCATTATCGAGATGCACAGAACAAGCTGTGAAACACATATGGAGAAATTCGAACACTTCACTTCTATCTGAAGTTTGTGCTGCTGATGATATCGTTCAGAAGAACGATGAAAGCTCCACGACCAAACCATCCAGCTCAGAGAGCAAAACTCCATCAAAAACTTAAGGCAATATCGAGGCAATCTAAACAAGATGCATATATGCCAACAAGAAACTGATCAATTACAGTCCCTAACATCAATGGGCAGATGTAAGTAAAAAAACACCAAGTGAATTTAAACTTCAGACCAATACACAAACAAGTGACTATCAAGACTCAATAGATAAGTGGATATCATGATGGTCTTTGCAGCAAATAGTACTATGTTCGAGTCCCGGAATGAAGATCAACTCTGGGATGCCGTTACATCCGATTGACGAGTATCAGATGGGATGATGATTTCAAAAAAGTGAACGCAGCTTAGCAGCAAAACATATACCTCGTTGATTGAGTTGTTTAAGTTCATCACATATTTCTTGGTTGACTTCAGTTTTCATATCTGTTTAAATACAAAATTGAATGGTAAGTTTTACAAGTTTCTATCCTGAAACCTAACTGTATATTATAATAGAAATAATGAATTTTGGAGATGATTAAGTTTTTGATTGAGATCATGAACCGATTGATGTTAGACTACTATTGAAAACCTGGTAGCACTGGACGGCCGCTTTGTCATATTGTGAGACTCCAGAACGGACAAGCGGTCTAAAATTCCAGACTCAAGAGTGCTCTGATCCATGATGTGGGTGTGGGTTCGAATCCGAAATCCGACACATACTTTGAAGAGTCTCACAATAGGACAAAACGGCCGACCAGTGCTTCCAGGTTTTCAATGATGGTCCAACATCAATCGGTTCATGATCTCAATCAACAAAATAATCGATCTCATATCTTTTATTAATTCCCTATGGATCTGGTACATAATTTTAATTGTTAAGAATGAGTTTTCTATTTATTGGTATGTTAAGTGTTTCACTGAAGTTATCATCAGTAAACTATGGACCTATTCTTTAGGGGAAACAATTCATCTGTAAGGCATTGAAGGAACCAATATTCCCTTTGAGATTTGAAATTGTGTTACTCAAACTAATGGTTTGAAATAACACCAGTGACATATTTAGAGTATGACAACTTCTTACACCATGAAACTAGATGCCATAAATTTGAATCCCTCAAAGAAGTACACATCGCTGACCATTTTCGACTACAAAAATAAACATCTTACTTTTGTTAATATACACGTAGATCATTTATGAATAATATTTCTGTTCCAAATGCCCTGGTACGGTGGAGAGTTAGGAGTGTCCGATCTCCATCTCAAAATGCTCTCTCTCTCCCTCTCAGTTCACTTTCATTTCAACTAACATCAAACCATCATGATAATTGAATATTTCCTATAAAACACAACAGAATGTTTAAACTAACTTTCATAAATTGTTCTTTCATTGTTATAACATTTTATTATTTGAAGGGATTTCGGATGATTTATATCTACATAGTTTATAAATAGACATAATCAACAACTATTTGAATAAAATTAAAGCATTACATTTACATAATATGAAGATAAGCTTCATTTCATAATGTGTCAATTGAAGCTAGATCATCATTGAAAACCTGAAAGCATTGGATAGTTGTGTTCATCCTAGACTATGGAATTCCTTAGCAGTCAACATCCATGATCTTGTATGTAGAGCTGAAACAGAACCAAGGACCTTTGAGTCATATACGCGAATACTTAACCTATCGACCATTGAGTTGATATTCAATAGTGTTACTGTTTAACGTCAATCAGTCCATGGAATTGAACCACCGTCCACCATTGCTTACCAATGACTGTCTCCAAGATCTATTTCATGGAGTTCTAGTGAGAATCAATGACTAGTGGAGTTCAACCGGGTCAGTTGTGAAATGGCGACTCACTGACGACAATGGTGAACGATGGCACAATTTCAAGAATTGGTTGAATTTAGATACAGTTGGATGCCGGTTGAGTATTATTATTATTATTATTTAAACACATAAACATTGGTACAAGCAGGCACCAAATAGATATGTGCCACATAAATCATTCGATTTGTGTGAGGGCTAGGATACTGCGCGGGTGCTCAAATCGAACAGGTGGTTTTCTCAGGGAGCCACACCCGGAGACCTTGACTTCAGGAGATGCAGTCCCATGGTAGCCGGTGACCAACGACTGGTTCACATGCCATCTGTTACTTCACGATGCTGGAGATCATGTGCACCATTGGCTTGGAATCAGGGATTCCCAACATTCCTAAGTGAATCCTCCGTATCCATCAGCCCGGTTAAAGCGCCGGACATTCGCGTTTCGTTCTCTCAGACTTGTAAACAAGAATAATGCCACGAAAATGCAGTGTGTAGGACTTCTCTGGAAGTGCTTGTGGGCACGTGGCCTTGTGAGAGTATTTCGAGAGGGAGGGCTGACCCTCCGCAATCTGGGCCGTACCTGGGCAGTTGTGGACTTACCGGCTCAGTGATCTATAGGTTGTTCGAGAGGCTGGAGCTTCTGGGTTCGAATCCTGTCGGCGCAATCCTGGATGCACATTACTCATAAGTCCTATACCAGGACGAAACGGACACCATACAATATTTTCAGGTTTTCCATGATGGTCTAGCTTCAGTTGACTCATGAATTCAACTAATAAATTACTAAAAATCTCCACAAACCCCTTCCTCCTCATTCTAATATGAAATATTCATTCATTACAAGCACTCACCATACTTTTTTTCTATAGAATTCACGACATTTACAAAGTCTAAGATATTTACAAATGAAGTAGATAACATACATCAATTAAATTAAAATGTATTGGATTCTGTGATATACTACATCTTAATAAAACAATATGAGGACTTCAATTCATAGAAGCATCATTAGATGGTTTGCTTCCTTGTTTTTT